GCGGTCACCGGTGACCGCTTGGTATTTGACAGTTTAAATGCACAAATATTGTCATATATCAAGTAATGCTGCACTAATGTTCATAGTAATAAACATAACCTAACACATGTCACAAACACAAGTTGGGACCAATGAGAAGTAAACAAATTAGGTATACACGTCAGTATATTCTACATACAGAAAGAAGTTTTCACTATTTAGAAGGATGTTTGAAATAAGAAGATGAACTAGGGTTTTAAATTTTTTTTTATTGTCAGCTTACATTAACTTATTCGGTCTTAGCGGCCGCAGTTTTAGGCTTCTTTGCCTTGATGGGCCTCTGTGAACGAAGGATGGCAGATGCACGACGAAGGGTAGCCTTGGAGAGGTCAGTGCGGTAGTGGTTGGCTTTCAACAACCTCTTTACCTTGTACAGCGATCTCCTCGCGCCGGCTTTGAACTGACGGCGGACTGCGTTCTTGGCGGGCTTGTTTGTCGCCTTAGCCTTCTTGTATACAACTGTGAAACCTTTCCTGTCGGGATTCTCGACGACGCCAACAGCCTTCTTCTGGATCAGACCGTTGTATCTGTATGAGTTGAGGTTAGTCACATTGTTGGGCTCCTTGCTGAACGGCTTCTTGATGTTACGCTTCTTCACCAAGAAGGCGTTGTTGTTGCGGATGATCATCCAGTTAAGATGGGACGACATTTTGCAGTTTTATTCTTAAAACTACACCGATTACAACGTGCTCACAACGTGTCCGTAGACAAAAGGAAAGAAGAGAATTGTCTATGTGAATGTCAAACGTCACTGTCAAAATTAATGTTGCCACATTTCAGTACAATAGTCCCTGGTTTTATTTAGTAAAATAGTATTTCTTGTGTTAGGAGATAAATAAATAATACTTAAAATCTATCTATTTAATAAATAATGGCAGTTAAAATAATTATAATGTTTTGTAACAACAGGGCATGCCAAATAAATAAAATTGATTGATTAAATAATTATTTTAGACTGTCGGACTGGTTCGACGCGTAGTTATAGAAAATACGAATATAATTATAGATTTTTAATCGACATGATCATCAGTCATTCGTAAGCATAACCGTGACTGGAAGATGTCCATTGCTGCTTTCGCTTTCAGTTTTTTACTCAGACTATAAATCTCAAATTGAAAATGTATTTTAATCCAATTTGCTTATTTCTACTTCATTATTTTTAGCATTGTTACATTTGTAACCATAGACTAGAAGAAACTCAAAAACTTGGTGTCTGTGGTTAACTGCAAACAAATTAACAAACTTTGAAAATCAAAATCATCAATAAAAATTACTAATGAACTCAGTCAGATTATTTACATAAAACAATTTAATAAGTTAAGAATAGAAATTAATTTACGACTTCTTTGCAGTAACTCTTTACTCTATGGATTTTACCGTTGACTTCTTTCATTTCTTCATCCTTTTTTTGGCATTTGCTTTATGGTGATATGTCAAATTCCAAACTAAAACTTGTCTGGGACAATTTCGTGTTGGTTCTTATTATATCTTTTTTCTTAATAAATATTTACAGTATCCCTTGTAGTAAATGTAGTTCTTGCGTGAAATTTATATGTGATTTGTTTAAAGTGCCAAATTGATGTCTCGTTATTATTGGTATTATGAATCAGGTTGATCAAAATATAAACAAAGATATGTTTGATTCTGATCTGATCGACGTGGAATCTTTGGATTATTCCGATGATCAGACGTGGTGAGTACCAATAAAGAGTATTAAAGTAGGAGAATTGTGGTCTGTGAGTTTGTATGAGTGAAAAAAGTACGGGGTCATGAATGTCTCGTCCGGTCGACATGTCAGTACACCGTTTGTGTATCGATGGTTATTCAGCCTGTTCCAATTACTCGTCAAGTTATTTATTTCCAGTCTAACCACTCCAACCAGTATTTTAACATAACCATCTTGCACACATAGCCTCTACATTTTCCAATATGATTCACCTTTGAATTCCAACTGTTTTTATTTTGTTTTGGCCTGTTCACTTTACCTGATGAAAGGTAAAAGGTGTTTGCTTTTATATTATGACATCAGAGACTTGATTTTGTGAAGGCATTATTCATGTAATGTTTGAAACCCACACACTGAACACTACCACACCTACACTGAAACAGTTGGTGTGAGTAATTTGACAAAAACAAACAAAAATATTGAATCTGTGTTGTGAATATTATTATTGATTGGGCCTATCTTTCACTTCTTTACATGGATTAATTTTAACATGACTATAACATATTTGAATAATCATATGAATGTGAAGGATCTAAAGGAGTATGTTATGCATCATATAGGATTTCATTATGTGGTTTTTGGTTAACCCAATGAGACTAAGTGTGAGTGTATGTAAATTATTCTAAATCAGTGTTACCATATTATTGTTTTTGTTATCTAACAATCTAAATAATTTTATCAATGTACCTTCAATAAAATCTAACCTGTTTAACAATATATACAACTTAAAAACTTTCTTGTTTACTTTAAAAAAATCTGTTCTTACTTTTCCCAAATAGATTTTTGAATCAACCGGATCTAGGATCCAGAATAATTTCATCTAGCATGGTGTAAAGTTTTTTGAACTTATTTTCTTCCATCCATATTATGTGCTTTCTCTAAATCAGTGGATCCCAACTTGTGGTCTGCAAGAGACGAAATATTATCCTCGAAAATTAAAAAAAAAACAATACAAAAATGTCTTGTGTTTCAATAAATGCAATATTTAAAGGTCAAATGAAACTTATGTCTAAGCAGATAACTAAGAGGATCAACTAATTGTAATAATCAAACTATTTCTATGAGAACGAGCATTATGACTTTGGAGAAAATTGGTCCGGACCACTTGAAAATAATATTAAAGTGTTCTTAACCTAAGAAAAATAATGATAAATTCAAGAACATTTTGGAAAACTCTGCTCTTAATAATTGTAGTAGTAGTCAGTTGGATATCAAACTTAGTTTAGTTACCTATATTGCCGCAGAGCTTAACAGGTTACTGGGGCTCAGGCTCGAAGGGCAGGAGTAGGAACGGGGTGGTTTTTAGTCAGTAAGCGTCTGACACTCCCTCTCGCCTCACCCAGGCGGGAGCAGTCATTCGAAGATTTCCACCTTATAAAAAAAATAGTTTCCTATATTGATAATTTTGCC